ATAGAATAGAATTGACAAGTTTCTTACCTCAGCCAGAAGGGATAGAATGCGTTCAAGGTTGAACGTCTCTATCCCAGGGATATTGTCCTTATCCCTCTTCCGGACGGCCTCCAGCATGGCCTTGGCATGCTTCTGGACGTCTGGCCAGCGGGGAGATTGATCTGCACCACAATTAATACGTGATGAGTGCGAAACTAAGGCAGCACCTATTTGTTGCCGACCGTCTGAGGATGACGTCTGTTGGGAGTGGGATTTCACCCGTAAAGGCCACCCCAGCTCAAGCGAGGATTCAAAAGGGTTCTTATCTTCAGAGCCGGCCAAGCGGGAAACGCTTGCAGGCGTGGTGAACCCTGCGACTGCTGATAAGGGGTTGACAAGATCAAGGCACATGCTGCCGCCTACCTTCTCGAGTCGCCCCGATACCCGTATCGTCTTAGCCCCGGCTGAGGCGTCAGGAGTTGACGCAGAGGCGGACTTTTTTATCTTGTTGAGAACGGATGGGGCCTCCTCTCTAGCCCGTTTGAGATTCTTCTCAAACGATTTCCCAACTTCTCCCCCCTGCGAAAATAAACAAGTCAGGGTTAGTATTCGGGCAAGATAGTTTTTAAAATAAACTTAAGAAAGGGTCAGGCGCTCAATACCTTGGCCCTGAGCTCGGCCGCAGCTTTCTCCGCAAGCTCTTTGCGGATGGCCGCAGAAAATCGCTTGGGAGTTTTCTCCGTCTGCAACATGTTTAGTGCTTCTTCTGCAAAAAGAAAGAAATTGGTCAAAATCATAAATCAATTCCGATAGAAAAATACTACAGACGGTGTGAACTCAGGCGCATACGTTTATTAAACATGTGCCCTAGCCCGCAGGCGGCTAGGAAACATTCATCCCTAAACCAGGCGCTCTTGGGAATCCAATTCTTAGGGACTTTTATTGTTTCCCCGGTTGACAGAGTTGCGTCTATGAGGCCGAAAAATTCTGCCTCGATTATTTTGTCAAAGTCTTCCTCTGGGATCCGGGGAAGAGCGCACTTCCTGCCCAACAAGTCGGGCTTCTTATTATACAGACGGAATTCATAATTTTCCCGTCTGGTTGGGGCTGACATCAGGTAGAACCTGTGCTTCCAGCCATCGAACTTTGAGACCTTGTCCAAGGTCATCATGTATTGCGGCTGTGTGGTTAGAGTATACCACGCCCTCCAGCCGCCTAGGCTTCTGCTTAGGTAATGCATGCTTGCAAAAGCCTCCCAGCCGGGGTTAAGCCCTTGGAACTCGCAGGCGGCAACATACCCCAGAATGTTGGTCCAAGAGTTGGGGGTAAGTTGCCAGACCCCAAGGCCGTAGCCTCTCAAAATTGCCTTCACCGCCTGGTGAAGGGGGCAGCGAAGGCCGGCTTTGAACGCCGCCTCATAACAGCCAAAATAGCTGTTGGCTTTCTCTTGATCATCCCCCCAGGCGATGGTGCCCAGCTCAGGCGGCACCCGGATCCTATACCCGTCTCCTAGCGGGTGCATTTTCTTAAAATTCTCTAAGTTCTCCCCCATCTGGATCCGGTCCTTGGAGGAGACGTGGATGCTGAAGGGATCGTCGTTCTCACTCCACTTTTTCCTTTCTTCCTCCTCGCTATCCAGAAGAGGGGGCAAGTCATCGCTGCTCTCGGAGGTAGAGGCAGAGCTGTCACTCTCCGTCTCCCCCTCACTTTGGTTCATGGGGGCAGAGGCGGCCTCGTCGCCGCCTTGGTCACACTCTTCCAAAAAAGAGTCTGCAGGGGTTGAAGGGGCGCGCGGAGGGGATCTCTCCAAAGCTGTCTGGTCACACTCTTCGCTCTTGTAATTCGGGTCCGTGGCCGTCTGCATTGTCCGAGCCATGGTGTCCTGCACAGACACATAACTGGTCGAAATCCATGGCAAAGGGTGGTCCCAACACCCCGAGCTGGCACTCCTAGTCCTAGACTCAGCCGACCCTGGTGACCAGCTGGACTCTAACCTAGGCTGTGTCGTGTGTGTTGGTGATGCATCCATTTATTGCAAGAAATATGTAAAGCGGTGAAAAAAGAAAAGAGCTGAGAGAGACAGAGACGGTACCTTTTGATTTGGTATCTGAACGTAGGCGGGACCGGCTGTGTTGCTGAAGAACAAACTCTCTTGCTCACGTCTGACTCAAGCGAATGACTTCTACTCTCAAAGTTTTTCTCTCTAGGAAATTTTTGTAAACGTACAAAATTATGAGGGTAAAACGGCTATATATAGAGGGTAAATTTGGGGGCATTTCCGTAATTTACCCGGAAGGTGAACGGTTACTCTGTAATGGTAAAATTACCGCCAACCGGAGCGTGACATGTGTCACAGATGCCACGTGGCGTGCCACGTCACATCTGTGAGGGGCAAATGTTTAGGGTAATTTTACCCTGCCACGTGGCCCAATCAGAAGGTGATACGTGTCAGCCCCAGATTGGTCCAAAATGGACCAATCCCTGCTCGACACGTGTCATTCCAGAAATCAAGGGAAAAGGCGGCCTTCAGGCCCAAATCCCGAGAGTGCCGCAAAACGGCGCAGCCCACCAATGATTAGGGTTCAGTGACCTAATCAGGGGCACAATTCCCAAAGACCCTATAAATAGGGAGATGTCCCTCATTTTGAGGGCACGTTTTACCATTTAATACACCTGCATTCTCTTACATCAGAGAAACACCTGAGCTTGGAATCCGAGCAGATACCCACCTAAATTTCCGTACTCTTTATTCCTTTTCAAGTTACTAACTTGACCGTTGGAGGCGGAGCTCCAACCACCCGGAGTCTTCGTTATTTTGCAGGTGCAGCTCAAGCCGGATCAGTCTTCGTGACGTAACTCTCCCGAGGGACAAAAACACCCAAAACAATGGCGACGGTTCGAACTGTTCTTGCTATTGTGGCTACTAAGAATTGGGAAATTCACCAAATGGATGTTCATAATGCATTTCTTCATGGTGACTTAGATGAAGAAGTCTACATGCAGCTCCCACCGGGATTTCAAAGTTCGGATCCTTCATTAGTTTGCAAATTGAGAAAGTCACTCTATGGTTTGAAGCAAGCACCTCGATGTTGGTTTGCTAAACTGACCACCGCCTTAAAATAGTATGGTTTCAAACAATTTTATTCTGATTATTCATTATTCACTTATACTACTCGTGATAGTCAGATTACAGTTTTGGTGTAGGTTGATGATCTGATTATTTCTGGGAATGATTCCGCTGCATTGACTATTTTTAAGGCATATTTGTGTGACTATTTTAAGATGAAGGATCTAGAACCTTTGAAATATTTTTTGGGGATATAAGTGGCTCGTACCTCTGCAGGTTTATTCTTACGCCAGCGCAAATATACTCTGGATATTATTTCTGAGACAGGTTTATTAGGCGCGAAGCCTAGTGGTTTTCCCATGGAGCAAAACCACAAATTGGGTTTGGCCACAGGCGACTTTCTCTCTGATCCGGAGTCTTACAGACGACTTGTTGGTCGACTGATTTATCTGACTGTCACGCGTCCTGACTTGGCATATTCGGTCCATATTTTGTCTCAGTTTATGCAGCAACCTCGTAGTGAACCTTAGGATGCAGTAAGGGTGGTTCGATACTTGAAAGGGACTCCCGGACAAGGTATTTTATTGAGCTCTGATTGTGACTTAAATCTGCAAGGTTGGTGTGATTTAGATTGGGCGGCTTGTCCCTTGACTCGCCGATCTTTATCTGATTGGCTAGTTTTTCTTGGTAAATCACCTATTTCGTGGAAAGCCAAGAAGCAACCCACGGTCTCTTTCTCTTCTTCGGAGGCCGAATATAGGTCCATGTCTTCTTGCTCTAAGGAGCTGAAATGGGTGAAGGGCTTGTTCTTAAGCCTTGGCGTTCAACATCCTAAGGCAATTAAGTTGTTTTGTGATAATGAAGTGACTTTACATATTGCAAAGAATCTGGTCTTCCATGAACGAACAAAACACATTGAGATTGATTGCCACTTTGTTCGTGATGCAATTACTGAAGGGTGGATATCTACATCTCATGTCCCGACATCTTCACAGCTTGCAGATATCTTTACAAAGGCACTTGGGAAAGCACAATTTGACTATCTTCTTTCCAAGTTGGGCATTTTTGATCCCCATGCTCCAACTTGAGAGGGGGGGGGGGCTGGGGGTATTGAGATAATATCGTATCTTATTATGATTTGATAATATTTTCCATATATTTATCTCTTCTATTTTAGTTAATTTTCTAAGATCCTACGATATCTTTTGATACGAGGACTAGGATTTTGTAACGATTACATATTTCCCAATTGTGATTAATGAAAAGCAAAGCAATTATCTCTCTAATTCTTCAGTTTCTAACTCAAATTCATTTTCGAAAAGTGCATGACGATCATTGTGGATGCTATTTTCATTTTCCATGCATAAAATCCTCAGAGTCAACATCCACGTACATGAGATCTTCGATTAATAAACTCAATTCATCGACTTCCATCCAAATATCATCCGAATCAACTCCAAATTCTACGCAAGCATCCAAATGACTATGAAACCATCAGCAACATTAAGAAAAACACAAACGGAGCGTAATTGAGCACAAAATGGACAAATTATGCATTTGCGACCTAAAAAGCGACTAAAAGACCTAAAAAGCAATTATAAACTTAGCATAAACATTCCTATAAATCCTATATAAATGTGATTCAATAGCTCATTCTCTCAAATAATATATTAGTATATATCATCACGCTTATAGCTCTCACTAGTCCTCCCATAAGAAATTCAAATAGTCACGTTCATATGCGGAGCCATGTTTAAAATAATGGGATTAATTAATCCACTTATTAAATTAGAAAAAATACTCCCAACTTTCATCAATTTTGGTAGAATAATCCCAACTTTTATTTATTTTGGAATAATCCGAACTTTGGAAGTTCTTTTTCTTCAATCCCAAATACCAATTATATTGCAAGTTTGGACACAAACACGGAGTAAGATTTTATTGGTAACCAGATTATTAGACGTCGGCAATCGGTAACACAGCCAAATCAAAAGACGATAGACAGAGCAAAATGTGTAGTACCCTGTATTCCCCAACCTCAATTCTGAGTTCTATCCTATATTCTCACCCTAATTTGTTAAAGAAATCCTCCAATTTTCATTGTTCCTGCTTATCTTCTTCCCCCAATCCTCTTAACTCACAAGATGATGAATCTTCCATTAATAGGTAACTCTCGTCTTTCACTTTTATTTTTGCTCATTTCATATTTACTGTAATACCCAATTCATCAATTCTCTGTATAATTGATTTCTCTGTTTTGTTTTACAGTGACCCTTTGATTTTAGTGGAGAGATATAGCAATGGTGCTGCCAAAAGGTTTGGTTTTGTTGGGGAATTAGTAAAATTTCATATATTTTAATACTAATTATATTGAATATTTGTATAATTATATTGAATATTTATATTGCAAAATCAATTGACATAATTTTGTGTTATGAAATTCTAAACTACTGTACTCCCCTCAGTCTGGAATCAGTGGTTGCGTTGATAGTGTAATTTGAACTTGTCCGGTTGCCAGAGTGATTGTATATTGATGAAAAATTTAAGTATAGTTCTATAATTATGTGAAATATAAATATAAATTTTAATTAGAATTAATTAGATATAGTTAACAATTGATAATCTTTGTGGAGTGCAAACTATCATTTAAAATTTGTTTTTTCTCAGTAAAAATGACCCATAAGAGCAACTCCAACGGCCAAATTAGCTTGCCATGCCACCTAGGATTGCAAAGCTATTTTCCTTCGGGCTAATTTATGCCACAACGGTTAAGCTAATTAGCATTTAGATTTTTCAGCTTTATTTTTTAAATAATTAGTATTTTATTAGAGACAATTAATTTCTAAGCTAATTAGCCTAGCTAAGCTAATTTACTTGGCATTAGCTTGGCCAAGCTAATTATTAAACTATCCTCCAATGGTTTGGCTATTAGCTTGAAAATTATTAAAATTGCAAGCTAGTCCCTAAAAGCAACCATTGGAGTTGCTCTAACTTGATTAACCACAATTTAATAAATTGAATTTAAATTAGTTTACTTGATCGAGGAAAAAAGGATTATTAATAAATCAAAATTATTGTGGAAAAAAAAAAGCTAATGGTAAAGTTGCATAATTTTTATTTTTTTATTTTTTTTTTTAAATTTATTAAATAATATTTGTTTAAGAAAATGTAAAATTATTTTATCTTCCTTACATTAACTTTCATGTGGAAGCAGGTATGTTTTGAATGGAGAATCAAGTAAACAAACACTACTTGAGCAGCACAATGATAATCAGCTCAACCCTGATACTGCAGCTAACTTGAACTGGCTTCCTGTCAGCATTAAAGATTTCATTTTGCCTGCAGGTTTCCCAGGTAATTACAGTATTACTGCATCAATTTGCAAAAACTTTTCGTGACTTATTTTATTTTAATGTTTTATTTTTTTATTTGGGGTGAAATCATCTCCCTACTTATGGAATTAGCACATACTTTGTTGTCACATTATTTTTTATAGATTAATGAGCTATACTTTGTTGTCACATTATTAGCCTATTAGGTTTGTATAATGTAAGTTGGGTGTGTTTTGAATTTTGCTATATGTTTCTGCAGAATCAGTATCAGATGATTATTTGGAGTACATGTTATGGCAGTTCCCTACCAACGTCACTGGATGGATCTGTCACGCCTTGGTTACTTCAAGCTTGCTTAAGGCATGTTTATCAAAACCTGGTTACTCTCTCTCCATTTATCTAGTTGAATGAACTTGGGTTTGTATGTCTTTTTAGTTTTTACTAATCAATTTCAGAAGAGGTGGGATTTAAGATTGAAACTTATTCGTCAGCTTGGAATGCAATTATCAAGCATACTAAGTGGCAATTATCAAAGCTAATCCTTGGCCTGATAGTTTCCAATTATAACTCCAATGGTCAAAATTTAAGAATTGCAAGCAAGTTCCTAGCTCTAACCATTGGAGATGTTACAATTGCTTTTTGTCTTGAGGCATTAAACTCTATAAAGGTTTACCTTCGTTTTTCTATGCAATAACATGATAATTATGCAGGCAGTTGGTGTTGGTTTTATCTCAGGAAGCACTGCTGCAGCATCTGCGGCAGCATCAGCAGCTGCAATAAGGTTATTGCTTATCCTTGCAAATTTTGTATGTAACTCAGTTTGAAAACCTTTAGATGTTCTTCTCCCATAGGGGGGAAAGGGTTTGGTTGGGGAAGGGAGGAATCCAACACCTTGAACTCAAAATTTCATTTTTAGCTCTAGCTGTTGGATTTTCTTGCTTTCAATAATATTTTTGCAGACATTAGTTCCCATGATTGGACACTAGCAGTTTCTCTACTTGTACAGATGGGTGTCAAAGGATGGCATTGGAGCTGTTGGTCGACTAATCATTGGTCTGAGATTGTGAAGAAATGTTAGGGATACATGTGTTTATCAGATGGATATTACCATTAATACATTTCTTTTATTCAGGTGGACGATTTGGGAATTTGTTTGATGATGATCCAAAACAGTGGCGAATGTATGCAGACTTCATTGGCAGTGCAGGAAGGTGAGTTACCAACAAACTTTTTATTCATAGTATCTGCTATCTTCAAGTCATTGTTAAAATTAATGTTTTTTTTTTTTGGCAGCATTTTTGATCTAAGTACTCAGCTTTATCCAGCATATTTCTTGCTACTTGCATCCCTTGGAAATCTTGCTAAGGTTCTCAACCCTTATATCGATTCTTTGCTTCTGCCTCTCTTTTACTATATTTTACGTATGAGGGATGTATGTGTCATATCCTTTTGATGATTGGCTGATTTGATTTCTGGGGTATTTTGAACAGGCCATCGCCAGAGGCTTGAAAGACCCTTCGTTCCAGGTGATTCAAAACCACTTTGCAATGTCGGGAAACCTTGGAGATATATCAGCTAAGGTATATAATTATTTATTGGTTTCATGCAAGCAGTGATTGAGATCTTGAGAATAATTTATCTCTCATAATTTAGTAATAGATAACTTTATTACATGAGTTTTCAAGGCAAGTCCTCTTCCTTTTTCTTGCTTGTGCTGAGAAAAAAAATATATGCTGAAATCTTTGACTTGCCAAACATTTTTCATTTTTTTTTTTTGGTTTGTTTGTGTATGGTGGTGGTGATCTTATCTCCTTAACCTCATTGTTGGACAAGTTTAGTCATGTTGGAAAACAATATTTCAAGTGGTATATTGCAGTGAAAAATAGTTTAATATATGGGCATGTATTGCAGGAGGAAGTATGGGAAGTTACTGCTCAACTTTTTGGACTTGGTATAGGTATACTCATCCTAGTAAGTGACTTAATTTATAGGTCCATATTGAACACTGCATTATAAAGTGTTTCTGTTTCCTAGAAAATCTTATTTGACTCATTGACGCTTATTTTAGGATACACCAGGCTTGGTGTCATCATACACTGCTTTGTTATCTACTTGGACGAGCATGCGTCTGCTCCACCTTTGGTTACGTTTCCAATCCCTGTCAGTTCTGCAATTTGAAACGGTGAGAATATCTTCCTAGTACTGCTCATTTTTTCAGGGAAATTTAAGATCAGTAAATGAGCATTATTGCAAATGAGATTGTCTATGTCTAATGCAATTACTTGCTTTGGAGTACTACTGAACTGGATCTTTTTATTCATATAATCTCATATGTTTCTCCTTGTGCAACAGATTAATCTTAAGCGTGCTCGTATATTGGTGAAAGCAAATGTAATACATTCCAAAGCGCTTGGTATATCTTCTTCTATAACTTGTTAGTTTTGAATTTTTGTGGCTTCATTTTTATTTATTTACTGGGGTGGGGGATTGTGATAGTGGTTAACTTGGATTCCTCACTATTCTCTGAAGCGGTAAATGTTCCTCTAATAGATTTTTTTTTTTTTTTTTTTTTTTTTGAAACATAAAAAATTTGAATTTACATAATCCAATTTGCATATTTCATTCCAGGACGCATTGACTGCAACAGGGAAGAAAACATATTAACATGGGAGCGGTTCCTGAGTCCTCGAATCATCTTTGGTGTTCCTTTTAGTGAGGTGATTGCTGCTGAGAGGTCATCATCAATGGTATAGTTTTTGTACTCATGCTACAAATATTAAACATTTGAATTAGTGAGTAGTTAGATCTGAATCACATTCGTGATGGTTGTGATATTCCATATGTGTTAGAGAAGGTTGCAACCAACTACGAAATTCTTATGATTGGTGGTGTCATTGATATCTCAAAGCTGTTCTTCTAAATGAGCGTTACTTGAGGAGTTTAAGGGTGACTGACTATATTTATATTATACAAAGTACACTATATGGTCAAGGAAGTAGTTTTCTTCACTGCTTAGATTTTGTTTTTTCTCCCAAAAAGTATGTTGAACCTACATAAACAGCAGTTATTGTAATGCCTCTAATAAGGCTCTTTCTCCCAACAGGGTGAGGGTGATTGGATGTAGGAAGCCTTACAAATGTGATTAATTGATTATAAAAGAAAACACTTCTTTGGATGAACATGTTCCTCGATCAATTATTATATGTTCTAAGATGAAGTTGGCAACAGGCTTACAATCCTTTAGTTTCTGGCTTTTTCGAATACTTGATTCATAATGCTGAGTGAAAACTTTCTTTCAGTTGGTGTTGCAGTACATTTCTCACTCTATACTGTGATTTGCAACAGGTGAAGAAGATATTTAAACTTTACACTAACAAAAAATATGTCCTTACAATAGATCAATGGCAAAAGCGAGATTTTGAGGTTTTAGTATCTTTTAAGGTATGTCTTATTCAATTCTTTTATATCAAATTTTGTATTTCTGAAAATTGAAACTCAAATACCTGGTAATTGTATTCTTTGGAAGACCAGCAAGTTTTTCCACCTTGGGGACGAAGTCACTAAGTCATCTTTTCTAATTTTTGTAGTAATCCAATCTAACATATATAATGATCTTAAAGTTCTAAACAAAGTTATTGATTTATTTTGCTCAAGATCTTTGCATCTTTTATCTGCTAATTGTGTGAGAATTATGTTTTCGCTGTTCTACTTACCTTGCAACGTTGTTGTGGTTTTTTTTTTTGTCAGGTGGGTGCTACAAGCTTATCAGTCTTGCAAAGTGTATGGCAAGCTTATTGGCTCTATGAACATTGGGATGATTCTATTGATGTTAGTAGAGCATTGGAGGAAAGCTTGATTAATTTGGAGTGCAGATTTGACAACTTCATGGAACTGCTTAAGGAGGCAGGCTGGAACACACAGAAACTTAATCTAAATGTACCCAAGGAACCCTTCATTGAGTTTGATGACAGCCAGAACCGTTGATTAATGGGAAAGTTGAAGCAAATGCACTGAATATTCTCAGTTGTTCATTTATATACCAGACACCATTAAAAGGTGGCTATGCAACATCATAGAAGTGAATAAATCACAACAGCATCGGGCTAACACTTCCTTCGCAAAAAAACTTGGCCAGGAGATTTGTTGACACTTCTATGAGAGCGGAATTGATCACAAGTGTTGGCGACAAAGGGAGTTCTGAAGTCCATCAAATGAGACTATTAGATCCCTTGATTGAAATTTTCTGTTAGAACCTGACTGTAATTGTCACTTCTTCCTTAAAGAAAAGGGTTGATATAAAGCAATAATTACTCACTCCAGTCTCTTTTATGAACTAACTTATTTCTTTGGCTGCCCTATTTAGGTGACGCTTAGCCCAGCAAGGTGCCCCTATCTTGTATATTGGTTGTATTTTGTATATTGACGACTAGCACACCAATTTTATGAATATTAAATGCTCTTGGTGGGCCCCTATCTTGTATTGGTTGTATTTTGTACGTATGAACTTGTATGCCCCAAATGTAACATTGTTGGCACGCTTTCCAAGACCGTTACAACAAGTTGGTCCGTTATTCAGCAAATGGGGTTTGAACTACATTTTATACTAAAGCCACACTTGTACTTGGGTAACTGATTTGATCCAATATGCAACAAATATCAGGCCTTTGTTCCGAAGCATTATGGGTGCAATAGCATGTAAATTTTAGCAATTGAAGCATTTGCTCTTCATACCCATTACCTGTTAGTGAAGGATCAGATCAACTGCTCTTTTAGAATCTTCCGAAGACATAATATTCTTCATCCATATATTCATGTCCACCTCTCTTGTTTCTTACAAGAAATTATCTTTTAATGGCTTTTCAATCACCAAACTTTCAAAAATCAACTTTGTCTGTGAAGTGACAACTCTCAAAATACTCTAGAGCCATTTGAACGGTAATGTTCATGTAGCAACTGAAAATGACATGTGAGTGTTATCGATTAACATTTCTTTTAATAGTCCAAAAATCTGCAATACGAGGCTCCATGTCATTGTCAAGAAGGATGGTACTTGGCTTGAGATTTTGTGAATGATGTGGAATTACACTTCATATGAAGATATTCAAGTCCATAAGCCATTCCAACGGCTATCTTATGTCGAGATAACCAATCTAACTATGTGCTTTCATTGGCTACTTTTACCATTAAGTCTTGCAAACTACCATTTTTCATGTACTCATACACAAGTATATTAAAGTTTCGTCGTGGAACATGAGCAAGGAGAGGTGGCGAATTCCGGTGCCTTATTCTTCCTATTGTTTGTATCTCTGACTTGAATGCACGCAAATTGCTCTATAAAGTTTCAAGATCTTCTTCACACAGCTCTGCAACCTCTTTAGGCAATCCCTTTATCTTTTTTATTGCAACCATCTTTAGGCAATCCCTTTATGCCGTCGAGGTAGATCATCATGATGTTGATTTTGACGAACCTGATGATGATGAACCCCTAGTTGTACGTGAGGACGTCAATGTCGAGTGTCATGCACACACTCAAGGTCAGCAACAACCTACGGTTGTTACAGCGGATGAACCTCAACATGTTCAAACCAGAGGTCGAACAACAGATGCAACCAGAGGTCGAACCCGAGGAGCAGGTCCATGTCCAACCAGGGTACAACCAGTGGTTGAACCAGAGGTGCATGTCCATCTCCAAGAGGTGCAACACAATATCATCACCAGAAAGACCTTCATCTCAATGACCCTCTCGGTCACGCTGATAGTGACATTGATTAATTTTATGATGCACGCGACGGCTATAACAGAGGGTCAGAATATCTCACTGGGGATAAGCAAGAGTCTAACAATCATGTATTGGAGGCAACGCCAAAGAATATACCTCCAAAGGAAACATCTACAAAGGATACCCAGCCTCATGAGGAACCAAGGGAACCTTCTACATGTGCATGGTGACCCTCAGCAGGTTATCTCTCTCATTTCCCTTCACTAAGATGCAAAATACAATTGATGGGTGCATAGTTGTAAAAACAACTTGTCTCAATGGCTTACATAATTTTTTTTACAGTTGACCATTTTGAGATAATTTTTTGATAGCATAATTTTTTGATAGAATTTTTAGACACTTTTTGACATTTTGATAATTAGGTGACAATTATATTTATTCTTTTTATTTTGACAACTAGTAGGTACAAATAAAATTAAAACTAAGAGTTTGTTATGTAGTAGTTCAAATAATGATTTAGTTAATGTGTTATGAATAGAGATGGTAATGGGGCGGGTCGGATGCGGATGATGGTACCTCCATACCCATACCCGCCTGAAAATCTTATACCCATCCCCGTCCCACCACCCGTGGCGGGTACAATATCCACATCCATACCCGCCCCACCGGGTACAAGATATGATCTATCCCCGCCCCATCACCCACTTGGATATTCATACCCACCTTATACCCGCCCTAAAATCGTCCCAAACCCGTTGCCATGATGCTCTATTGTATCATATTTATGACGATTATATCAAATTAGGTTAAGAAAATTGGAACTTTCACTATTCAAGCTTATTGGGTCTTAGGGGTATCAAGTTTCATAAATTTTCAACTCTTCTAAAGGAAATATGGTGCAGGTATAAGGTGGGCACGGGGCGGGGCAGATATGGGGCGAGTCTACTATAAAATCCACATCCGCCCCATCACCCATGGCGGGTACACATTTTATACCCATCTCCGCCCCATCACCCGCCAAACCTCCCTCCATCCCCGCCCCACTTGAGCAGGGATGGGGCGGGTCTCCCACTTAACCTGACCCACTGCCATCCCTAGTTATGAATATGTTATAAAATGGACCACAATGAATCATACAATATGATAAAAAATGTGTTATGGGTTTGTTATGTACTTGATGTAAATTTTCTGAAAATATATGTGAGTTGTGTGACAATATGATGTGACTACACTCTGCAATTGATGTGACTAAATTGACAGTCCTCATATAGTAACTGTATCAATATAATGGAATTTATATAGGTATGCTTGCATTGTCATGACATGTTATTGTTGAAGATTTGGATATAAATGACAAGGGTGATGATCAACAAGTAAGTGTTGGAATATCGGCTGCAATAAAATACACACCCGGTGATCAAGAAGGCCCTAGTGGTTTGACGATGTATGTGGTTAACAATCCGGAGGGAGTGCCCTTGGAACGGAAATGTTCATTCACTTATGAGGACGTTGAAAAATTCCTCAAAAATGTTCGTCAGATGGTTCAAAGTCTGCCTTGGATGGTAAACATATTGTGTTGGAGCCTTTCGAGAATAACAAGCAGCCTGAAGGTGGAAGTAAATCAGTGATAATACTCTCTTAGTTGCTTTTTAATATTTAAACTTTTTGTAATGCCATTAGAACTTTGATTGTTTGTGTATGTTTTTTGAATTCATTCTTTGATGTAATAATATTCACCTCATTTTGTTTTCTGGCTATTTTTGTCAAACTACTGATATTGTTGTCTATTTCTTGCAGAGGCCATGCTGCAAAAGAAGGTGAAACGACCCTCAATGAAGTACGGGTGGCCTCCACCGGTGAGGTTGATATTCAGCAACCTAGAGAAATCGGCAACTACATAGGCTACTCTTCTGAAGATAAACTTGTCACGCCACTTCACAAGTTAACCAAATCTCAACACATGATACTCAGAAGGAAGACAGAGAGAAGCAAAAAGCGTAGGCAGTTGGCTCCAGCTTTGTTAAAAGCCTCTTACGTAAGAACTTGGAGGTCAAAGTGTATTAGGAGGTATTTTTAACCTCTTTATCACTTTGTGATGAACAACAAGATAGCTTCACCAAGGTTCACACAAGATGAGTGAGAGTTAATACAAGTTGCTTGATAACATACATTATTAGTTTATACACTTTTGGATAACATGGACTTTGCTTAGAGTTTGGGTACCTACCTGTTTGTGTTACAGCTCTAAACACACATTCATCAAATGCGGAGGAGACTATGTTAAGCTCTGTTATTGTGGAAAAATTATCCATCAGAATGACATGATTTATGTGTAGGGGAATATAGGTACTACGTAGCGGAAATAATCATGAATCATATTCATATAGCACCTAACCAAGGATCTCATGCATAACACATAAAGAGTAAGAATTATACCTTTGAAGCGTGATTCCACTAGTAATCGAGCAAGAACAAGGGAGACAAAGAACCTCAAATGTGATTCCTCTACTTGGTCCACAGACATAGATTAAGACCTCCACTAATGCTAGTTAGTCGCGATCGAACTCTTCAATCGACCTTCTACGGAGAGGTATGAGCAACGAACTAGTCACGAACTACCACGAACCACCGCGAACACCACCAGGGGTGGTCGGCCGCAAGTCCAGGGGGAGGGGGAAAGGGGTGCCGTGAGAGAGAGAGAGGGAGGTGAGGGTATTGGGATTTGGTTGCCTTGATTCACAATTCACTGTAAGTTGATTGTGACTCTTATCATGCAACCCTAGGCATGGATCTGATTTATAGATCATATCCATAAATAAGAGTCCATGACCAAGCCCAATTCCTAATCCCAATCAAACTACACTAGCCCAATCCTATTCATGATTAGTTAAATACTCATAAGGCCCGATAATGGGCCTTTTACTTGCTTAACCCAATACCTTTGTGTGTGACCTCATAGGATCCATTCTAGCGGGCTTTGGGCTATTTTACTAGCCCAAAGATCATCTCTCATAGTCTAGCAACAGATGATGACGCCCCAAGAGAACGAACTTATTATCTCCATAATAGTGATCCTTGATATATCTAGTAATTGCACTTATCGAAGACATAACTACTTCAATCTCCCACTTGTCTGAGACAAGTACGCAATATTCGAATTCCTTAAGTCAATGTGTGTCGATTTGATAATATGATTGCATCTCATGTCGTGATCATATTAGTCCACAAATATTTTCTTGAAAACTGAGTGAGAATTTCAAAACAAATGATTACTGTGTAATCCATTTGAGCACGGCCATGCATTTTTCTGAATTCTTCCTCTTCAAGGGGCCAAGACACATTCCTAATTAAATAGGTAGACTCAATCCAATCTTGTGGCAACCAAAGCTCCCACTCAATTTCAGAAATAACCGGGAAACACCCTTTATAATCTCCAGTTACAGGCAGACGTTTGAGTGTACCACAGCCATAACATCCATTGAATGAAATCAATGTTCCACTCATGTCAAAGGAATCCACTAATATATCCGGAAGCTCTATACTTGAACTTCAAAGTAGGTCTATAGTTCGATCATGCATCATTCATGCATATCCATGTGATTGACCGAGCCTCACTATGCTCCTATAGCCCATGAAACTGCGCTATCCAATCAATCTTATATGCTAGTCCATTATTAGAAATCATTTATGTCCAATTTAATGATTTTGAACTAGGAACTTAAATAATACATGGATTTTGTTCACCCGTGGGG